AGCCCATAGACTCAGTCTCCAAGTAGGGGGAACAGGGTCTGTCTCTGAACTCAGGGGCTGGCTCTTTGATCGCCTCCCCCTGAGGGCAGGGGCAGCCTTACCAGGCCACAGAGGAAAACAATGCAACCAGTCTTGATGAGATCAGGTAGACTAGGATCAGGTGGAACGAGAAGAGGACCACCTCTATCAGTGGGCTAAGGGAGAGGCATAGGGGGAGAAGAGGGAGGGAGGGTGGAATTGGGAAGAGATGAGGGAGGGGGCTATAGCTGGGATACAAAGTGAATAAATTATAATAAAGAAAAAAAAAAGAAAAGAACTCCCTACTGAAATACTCTAGTAAATAATATAAACATAATTTATGAACTTCCAGTAGCCATGTTTTTAGATTTTCTTCAAAATGTCTAAAAATGGTATGGATGATGATTTCTTGGTCAAGAAACAACTTGTACACAAAGAAATAAACGAATGCAGCAAGAAAATCAGAACGCTGGCTGAACATCTCTATTAAATTGATCACATTGACAAAATTCTGAAAATCACCACACAGTCCCAGCTCTGGTGGGTTTCCTAGTAGCTGAATTCATGGACTCTAGGTAAAAGCATTTGCTAGCTTTGATAAAACAGTCAATTATGATACCCCTATTTTCTCAACAGTCATTTGAGTAAATTTACAGATCAAGGATCTAGTCCAACCATGTTATTAGGATCACAGAAGGCAAGAAGAAGCCTTACAATGCTGAGTATAAATAGCTATTCCCCTGGGACTTTGGAACTTCATTTAATAATTGAATTCTGAGGGAAAGGGCACTATCACAAATAACAAAAATGTTGAGAACCTCTGGGTGATTTTTGTCAAATACAATAAAAACTGACCTTTTCTTTTAAACCCTATTTCTGATGTTGATCCTCCAAAGGTCCCTTAGGAGGCTCAACATAGGGGTGCTTACTCATCCTGAAAGCTTTCCTTCCATGTGTTTCCGAAACCTGTTGAAACAGTTAGTTTTAATCGTCAAGTTGGCACAACCTAGAATCACTTAGGAAGGGAGTTTCCATAAGGATAATCCAGATAACTAGGTCTATGAGACTCTCTGTTAGGGGCTGTCTTAATGTCCTTAATTGATGGAAAGAGACCCAGCCCACTGGGGGCTGTACTAGTCCCTGGGATCTTATACAGAATAATTGTAGACTCGGAGTACTGGGTAAGCATGAGTTCATGACATTGGGTATGATATGACCAGCTATTTCCAGCCCCTGCTGTGGACTTCCCTACAGTGGTGGCATACAGCCTGGGAGGTAAAGTAAGCCCTTTCTCCCCTAGGTTGCTTTTGATCAAGATATTTTATCACAACAATGGGAATGAAACTAGGACACATGCTTTTTCATGTCATCTCCCACCACCTCATCTGCCTGTTTCCTGAAGTCCTGCACATGAGCAACAGGCTGCCTCTCAAAAAAGTCCTCTCTCCCCACCCTTTCTTAATCTCCTTACCCTCATTTGGAAGCCCTTTGTTTTCTTTATTCGACAGTCTACACCTACTTACGGTTTCACAATTCTGTCTTCATTACAATGTCCACACATGCTTACCTATTCCTGAGTAATCCCTTCCTCTTTGAAATATTCAACAATAGCTCTTTCTTGCTTCTATTGTTTATAGACCATTTTTAGCTGATCTCCACAATTTCCTTCCCTCTCTGCTGTAGTAATAAACAGCAGAATCTCAATAAGCTTTTATTGAATTGAGGAATCTGTTATGCAATATCCTTCTCTCTCAAAATCAATCTGTGCCTCTGAACAAAACGATACAATTTTAACAGGAGGCTATAGAAACCAGGTTTGATCTTGAATATTTCACTTTAGTTTATTAGTGTTTTAAATATTTAAAAGAATTTGACATTAAATATATATGGTATACATATATAAAGTCTCCAAAGGCACTCAAGTCACCCTAAATTATTCTAATGCTATCTGTGAATTGCCTTTCTATATGGGAATCTGAGTATCCATTAACTAAAACACATGGAATTAGCTCTGAGACCAGAAGGGATTCTGCACTCATGAAGACAAGAAAAGTAAAAAATAGAAAGCTTTTTCTCAAACAGCTTGTCATGTGCTCACAGGAAAAAAAAATTAAAAGGTAACATATGAGACAAGAAAAGCATATGTTCTCTGAACCTTTCTATGGTTGGTTTCTGGCTTAAAATAGACAGAGCCAGATTCTACTGGGCTCCCATTCGTGGTAGCCTTTGGCCACTTTAGCTAAAGCAGTAGTAAACATGGTTGCCTTGCAGCAGAGGGCATTACACTGAGGGCTAAGCACATTCCACAGCTGCCAGGGAAATGCAAGAGATGATGAGACCAGAATCGGCACAGAAAGTCATGAAAAAAGTGGATACAAACTTGCATTCAAAGAAAATAAAGAAATTGAAGCAATAACCAGTACAAAAGAGGGGGGAAAAAAACCACCTCAGAGGAAGGTACAGACAAGGTTTGGTGCAGACCTTAGCATTATCAGCATGGAGTGCAGGAAGCTGGAGGTGGGCACAGGAAAGGGAGATGATGAAGAGGGTGGGCAGAGAGAACAAAGGCAGGCTTAAGACCCAGTAGTTAAATAAGCCAGAACCCAGACCTGACACAATCCTTACTAAGATCTCTCTATGTTCAACCAGAAGGATTTGACTCTGCCTCCTTCAGTCATACATTTAGCCATTTCCCAAAGTCGACCTCTTTAGATCTACATGAGGAATTTATGGGTAGCCTTTCATTCCTCTAATTATAGACAAAAATCCATGTTTATCACAGAAAAATGTAAAATTAAGAAAAATCAAATATGGCCACTCATATTACAATTTAACCACATTTCCATCATTAATTTGTTCATCTTTGTTTATTCTAAGCTGATATGTACAGGACATTGACTGTTCTTAGCTCTCAGGGAGTCATGGTAAACAAAATATATAAAAATTTCTTCCCCTAATAATTTATATTCTATCAGTAGATAAAGGCATGGTAGAACTTGGGAGCGTGTTAGAAGGCAAAGAAACTGCAGGAAGCTCAAGGGCCAAGCAAAACAGGTGGGCTAGAGGTACAGGGCTAGATGGAGGGGCAGGCACAGACTACTACAGCATCCACAGGGGGTCAAACTGAGAGCACAGCATTAACAAACTGAATATGATGAGCACATCATCAAACCATTAAATATTCATTTACAGTATGATTTTTAATGACTATGGAGAATTCCAGTTCATAAGCACACCATATTATTTAACTGTTCTGTACTAAGAGGAAATTAGATTTTTCTTGTTTTTGAATGTGTGTGTGTGTGTGTGTGTGTGTATGTGCGCACATTTAGTGAGAAAAGTAAAGATCTGAGCAATGTGAGCAGGAACAACGTGTTAAATACTTTAATACACAAGTCAGAAGTTTCTCAAATATGCACCAATTCAGACTCCCTCTCCCTCTTCCTCTCTCTCTCTTCCTTTCTCTCTCTCTCTCTGTCTCTCTGTTTCTGTCAAGGTTCTCAGCCACCCACACATGACAATCTTTTCATAAAGCCTCACAGAAGCGCTCTGGCTTTGCCATCACTCTACCATCAGCTTCTTTACAAAGCAGAAATAGTCTTTATAGTAGAGAAGTCTTCCCTATCCGCCTACATAGTACAGAGACGGGTACCAGGAGGAACAAGCAATAACTACCTACCTGATTAATAAACAATGAAAAATTACAGGGTGTTCATGAAGACTTCTGCCTTCCACCCAGCTTTAGAGATGCCTGGAAATGTCTCCCTCCCACTAACGCTTCCTTCTACGAAGAGGAGTGAGTCATGTCTCAGACATATTTAGCACCTTCCTTACAAGGTGGCAATGCATCTCTTCATGCCTTTAAGATACTGGAAACCACCCTGCAATCTGGACAGCTAAAGTATACTATTAACATCTGAGTAAATGCTAAACAGCCTGTAGAGTCAACACAGAAAACACTTTCATTCTAGTGATGTGAAGGTGACAATGACATAATGCTTTGGCCTTGAACTCTAAAAGAGAAATAGATCTTAATAGTTTATAAACTACTTGTCTTAAATTATAGTCATGGCATGATTAAACTTCTGTTCTTGTTTTTAAGAGAAACATGTTACACTGCCAAAAAAAAAAAAAGAAGAAGAAAGGCTAAATAAGACTTGTACAAAGCTTGGCAAACAAGAAAAGGCTGAACTCCAAAAGAAAAATAATATCAACAGAATAGCATTTTCTTATCATATAAGATGGCTCATTATGAGTGCATGAATAATAGTTTCTCTGTTGAGGCAATGGGAGATGCTGAGTTGTGGCACTGTCTTTCATGCTTCTAGCATCATCAAAAACCTCCAGTCCAGTGCTACCTGGAAATAAAAGCTATCTGAAAGTATTTTTTCCTCTCCAATGCAGCCTTAGGAGAAGCACGAAGCAAACATCATCTTGACCTTTCAAGCATGAGGATACAGACCCTGGGAGAACAACTATCCTTTCTATTGATGATTCAATTGGTCAGTTCATACACTCACTGCAAATGGACTCAGCTATGAGATGGTATGAGTTTGAGAGTCCACACTGACTGTCTGACTTTAAGTCTTTTAGCTGTGTATCTGTCTGTGTATCTACTGTATCTGTGAAGATTAATATTGCCAATTTGATAGGATTAGAATCTCCATGGAAACAAACTCTTGAATGTGTCAGCGAGGTAGTTTCTCAATTACATTAACTGAAGTGGAAAGACTCATCCTAAGTATGAGTCGCACCGTTCCATAGGCTGGTGTCCTAAGTAGAGTAAAAGTGTGCCAAACAACAAGATTAATTTCTCATCATTTCCCAGCTATGGATACAATGTAACTTGGTACCATTACTCCCCTGTATTGACAGACTGTACTCTCATACTATGAGCAAAATAAATGCTTCCTTCTTTACATTATCAGATATTTTGTCATATCAATGAGAAAAATAATGAAGACAACATCTCCACAACCAACCTGGTTATGCTCCAAGAGACAATGAAGTGGAAGATTTGAGGATTCCAGCCACAGAATTGAATGTGTAATGCTTCTCACATTGTGAACTGTAGATCCACATGGCAACTCTTCAATCTGTCATTCACAGTCAAGGGACCTATTCACAATGAAACAGGTATCAGTAAGGATTCCTGAAAGCAGGGGCCAGTAGGAACAGGTATGGCTCTGAGGATAAGAGACAACGTCAGCAAGACAACCTGGATATGTACAATGTGGTCCGTACTGGCTTCAGTGCTGCTTTGCCCACCCTCCTCAGACCTTGAGATGTACTGTGACATACAAGAGTGAAAGTTGGTTATGCTCATATTTAATTTTCACACCTATCCTTAGAAACGACCTGATGTGACCCAGGCAACCAAGTTCAAGTGTGTAAGAGCAAGAAATGAACTCAGCTGCTTCCACTAGGTGCTAATATTGGGTTTTTATAAAAGCATGCCTTTGGTGCTCACTCTAAGGACACTTATTATTTATTGTTTTGCCCTCCTCTAATATAATCTTTTAGAAAAGATTAAAAGTAACTATACCATCATCCTTTTGGTTAAGAATGTATCATTTGTCTTTCAGTTCATTCATTCACCAAGTAGGTACTGTCTATCCTGTGCTACATACTGTCCTAGGAACCCAAACTATAGTATTAAAGAAATAAACTCAAATGGCTTATTATCAAAGAGTTAATAACAGAAAGCAGACAGTGCATGCAGTGCAAGTTTTATGAGTGCTATGAACATACTTGCAAGTTAGAGAAGAAATAAAGTAAGGAAGAAATAGGGTCTCTGTAGAGATGTTTGATCAGAGATTAGAAGATATGTAAAAAGGATAGCCCTACAGATATCTGGTGGAGCATCCTTGGAAACAGTTAGAGGAAAAGCAAAAACAAAGACCTGCAGGGACACATGAAAGAGCCAAAGAATGGCTAGAGATTAGTGACAAGTCAAGTGAATAAGAAGAGAAATGGGAAAATGGTGACAGGGATAGTTAGAGATCTACAGTGTTGCAAGGTGCTGTGCCAACTTACTCTTCATGCAGAGAGGAGTTATTGGTAGGGCAGAGTGCCAAATAAAGTTTAATGTGATTTGACTGTAAAGTAAAAAACAGACTGAGGGAAAATATTGGAAGCAAGGGGATAGGTAAGAGCAACTACGGTTCTGGGAGTAAGAGAAAATGACAACAAGGAAATAGTAGGATGACAAATACACATTTTAGATATATATTTTTTTTGAAAAAAATTAAGATTTGCTAATAGATTGGAAATGAAATGTTGGCCAATGAGAAAAGCCATGGATGACTTCTAGTTTTCTGTCCTTTACAATAGAGGAAAGGCAAGGCCATTACTAAGATGGGAAAAACCACTTGCAATAGTTGAAATTGATTATCAATTTGATAGGATCTCAAATCCCCTAAAAGACAATTCCCTAGGCACGTCAGTGAAGAAACTGGGTTTATGGAGGTGTGAAAACTCACCCTAAATGTGGGTGGTACCATTCAATGGGCTGGGGTCCAAGACGGACTGTAAATGAAGGAGCTGTGCACAGCATTCATCTATATCTGTTTTCTGGTTGAAGATGCAATGTGACGTTTTGGATTCCTGTCATCATAACTTCTGATCATGGTAGACTATACCTTCAAACCATAAACTAAAACAAACTGGCACTCTCTCAGACAATTAGGAATAGTGCAACCTCAAGATCCAGCTATACCACTGCTAGGCATGTATCCAAAAGATGCTCAGGTATACAAAAAGGACATTTGCTCAACCATGTTTGTAACAGCTTTATTTGTAATAGCTAGAATCTGGAAACAACCCAGACATCCCTCAATGAAGGAATGGGTACAGAAATTGTGATACATTTACACAATGGAATACTACTCCGCAATTAAAAGCAAGCAAATGAAATTTTCAGGCAAATAGATGGAACTAGAAAAGATCATCCTGAATGAGGTATCCCAGAAGCAGAAAGACACACATGGTATATACTCACTTATAAGTGAATATTAGACATATAATATAGGCTAAACATACTAAAATTTGTACACCTAAAGAAGCTAAGCAAGAAGGAGGACCCTGGTTAAGGTGCTCAATCTTCATCCAGAAAGGCAAATGAGATAGACATCGGAAGAGGGAGAAAACAGGGAAGAAGACAGAGGCCTACCACAAATGGCCTCTGAAAGACTCTACCCAGTAGGGTATCAAAGCAGATGCTGAGACTCATAGCCAAACTTTGGGCAGAGTGCAGGGAATCTTATGAAAGAATAGGGACAGGAGGTGACAGGAGTTCCACAAGGAAAGCAACAGAACCAAACAATCTGGGCCCAGGAGTCTTTTCTGAGACTCATACTCAAACCAAGAATCATGCATGGGGATAACCTAGAATCCCTGCACAGATGTAGCCAATAGACTCAGTCTCCAAGTGCGTTCCCTAGTAATGGGAAAAGGGACTGTCTCTTGATCACCTCCCCCTGAGAGGGTAGCAGCCTTACCAGGCCACAGAGGAACACAATGCAGTCAGTCCTGATGAGACCTGATACGTTAGGGTCAGAGGGAAGTGGAGGAGGACCTCCCCTATCAGTGGACTGGGGGAGACACATGGGAGGAGATGAAAGAGGAAGAGTGGGATTGAACGGAGGAGGCTACAGCTGGAATAAAAAGTTAATAAACTGTAATTAATTAAAAAATAAATTAAAAAACAACAAAGTCTTCTTCTAAGTTGCTTTTCAAGGGCAATTAGAAAAAAATAACTAAACACACCGTGGAGCTAGTGACAGGAAGAAATAAGCATTTATCCTTGGATGTCAGGCATGTTAGTACATGCCTATGATCTTAGCCCTTGGTAGGCTGGGGCAGGAGAACAACTGGGAACTTGACACCAGCCTGGATTACACAGGGAGTACCAGGTTAGCCAGCCAGGGCCACGGTTCAAGACCTGGCCAAAAGAAAACACAATTCATCTTTGGACATAGAAAGTTGAAAAACATATTCAACATGCAGAAGATGTTGAGTTCTAGGAAAATGTCTTAGAAAACAAAAACAAAAGCAACTTAGAAGCTATCAGAACAACACGATGAATTCCCAGGACCATCTTCCTCCTTGTGATTTTGACTAAAAACTCTGAAAAAAAAAATGGAGGCTTTACTCAGATGGAATTGTGTTACACCTTGTGTTCTTGAAGATGAAAGATATGTATGCTGAAGAGACCGACCCAGAACCTGATGAAAAACAACAGCAAGGAGGTAAGAAGAATCAGCATCTGTGTGAGGAGAGCAGGACCTGGTAGACTGGAGTGGGCTATGAAAGGTGGGGAGGAAGGTGGTAGCAAGAAAATAAACGTCTGGCAGGAAGGATATGGATGGGTTATGAGTTAGTATTCCCTGGACAGATGAGGAACTTCAAAATGCTTCTCTTTATCCCTGAAGTAAGCATGGCCACCAGCTCACACAAGAGAATGGTGAGATGCGGGAAGTTTAGGGAAGAAAGGGGAAGTCACAAAGTGTGGCAGTGTCTAGACTGGTGGCACAGAAACTGATGGGATTTTCCCCCTTTTGTTGAAAATAGATCGTCCCCCTGACATAATATATTCTGACTACAGTTTCTCCTCCTTCTACTCCTTCCAGGCCTCTCCCACATCCTCTCTCATTGATATCTACTCCCTTCCTGTCTCTCATTAGAAAACAAACAGGCTTCTAAGGAGACAATTAAAAAAAAAAAGATAAAACAAAACAAAAAAATAACACATCAGAATTAGAAAAAAACAAACATTGGAAAAAAGAACCCAAGAGAAGGCATAAGAATCAGAGACCCACTTGTGTGCACATTCAGGAATCCCATTTGAAAACACTAAATTGGAAGCCATAAAACATGCAGAGGGCCTGGCGCCGGGTGCAGACCCGAGTAGGCCCTGTATGTGCTGACTCACTCTCTGAGTTCACATGAGCCTTGCTCAGGTTATTTAGAGGGACTTGTGTTCTTGGTGTCCTCCATCTCCTCCCACTCTACACTCTTCTGCCTCCTCTCCCATGGGCTTTCCTGAGCTTTGAGAAGAGGGATTGATGGAAACATTCCACGTAAGGCTATGCGTTCTGAAGTCTCTCACTCTCTGCTTACAGGTCTCCATTCGTTCCCATCTGCTTTGGAGAAAGCTTCTTTGATGATGGCCGAACAAGGCACTGATCTATGAGTATTGGAGATTATCGTTAGAAGGTTTTTTATTGCTACATTTTTTGTTCTCATTTTGGTTTGCTTGTTTGTTTGACCAGCAGTATTTGGTTTTACTCCAGGACCCTGAGCCATCTAGTCTCAGGTTCTTGGTCACCCAAGCAGTATTGTATATGGGTTCTATCTCACGGAGTGGGCCTTAAGTCAAATCAGATACTGCTTGCTTAGTCCCACAAACTTTGTGCAACCATTGCCCTAGCATATCCTGCAGGCAGGGCAGATTTGTTGATCAAAGAGTTTGTGGCTGGGTTGGTGCATACATTTCTCTTTTAGTAGTATGCTGAGTACCTTTCTGTACCTTTGGGTATCTTTCTGCACCAAACACACTAACACATAGTATAAAGGCTCTTGGTAGTCACCAGCTTCACATCCTAGTGTTCATTGAGTTTTGTAGGTATTGCCTTCAGCCATGGGACCTTGTCAACAAATGGGATTTAGTGTTGGTTCCCTCCTGTCTGGGAGCTGTCTCCCTTCAGCCCAAGCCCACATAGTCAGGAGGGGAACTAGAGGACAGGCATGCCTGGGATGACTGGCACCCACCCTGGGAATCAACAGGGAGCTAATTCAACTTCAATTCCACTATTCCTAGTTGTCTGAGAAACCAGATTGATTTCCAGACTGGTTGTACAAGTTTACATTCCCACCAGCAGTGGAGGAGGGTTCCCCTTTCTCCACAGCCTCTCCAGCATGTGTAGTCACTGAAGTTTTTCATCTTGGCCATTCTGATGGGTGTAAGGTGAAATCTCAGGGTCGCAGTTCCAGAGAACAAAGGCTATATACCCCCAGGGAGTAGGTGGGGCTCCAAGAATAGGTGTACACATTGGTTGCATTAAACAGCATGGTCCTATCATATGAATGGAAACACAGCAACTAATTATCATATAGGC